GTTAAAGGGAAAGTGACCCTATTGCCCAAACCCTGAGAACTTCAGGGAGCAAGTATCTGAGGATAAATAATAATATCTAACATTTGTAGAACCTCTGAGAGTTTCTAAAGGGAATGTGTCATTTGATCTTCACAACAACCTTGAGGCAGGGAGATGTATTGTGAAGATTTGTTACAGACAAGGAAACAGGTTCTGAGAGGTGAAATTACAATAATAATAGCTCAGATTCTAGAGAAGATTATAAATAGTATTACATACTGTGCTTCTTTAATCTGCACAGTGACCCTATGAGGTAGGTATCATTATTATCCTTATTTTAGAAATGGGGAAACTGCACAGAGAGGTTAAGTAACCACCCTAGATAGACTAAAGAGTAGCAGACCAAGATTCAAACTCAAGCAATTGTGTTGCAGAGCTCTTGCTCTTAATCAGTTCACTTCTCAAATAATTCATGCACAGTCTGGGCCAGAATTCAAATCCAGATCTGTCTGACCCCAGAGCCCTTTCTCACCACCATTAAACACTACCACCTCCCTAATGAACCAGGAAGTACCGGGCACTTACAGCCAGGGCCCTGGGAGCAGGGATAGGGCAATTGGTGGCAATTCCAAGTGATTGATCTAAGGACCAGGGTCCAGCCAGAGAAGGAAGAATGAGTATCCATCCTGGGCTGATAGCTCAGGGCGGGCAGTGAGCCAGCAATCACAGACCTGGACCTGCAGAGAGCCTGGGGAGACTTCTTCCTTCCTGAGCTCTCAAGAACCCAGTCTTTGACCATCTCTCCCCACACCTGCAATTCCCTGACAAAGAAGATCAAGACTATGGTCAGTGGAATATTTAGGGAGATCACTATGGCAACAAAATAAAGGATGATGGGTAAGGGGTGAGGGTGAGACAGTTTCAAAAATTGAGGAGAAAAGTGATGAGGTCCCAAACAAACCAAGGCAGTGACTGGTGTGGAGAAGAGAGATACTGCAGGAGCGAGTGAATGAAGGGTGGACAGGGATATTGTCTTCTAATGACACAGCTCACATTCAGGCCCCAGTGGAAGAAGGAGGAGAGAGAGTGTGGGAGGAGTGGGGAGCAATAAACAATGAGGCCTATAGGATGAGCAGCCCCTGGAAGCTGCCAGAGGTGATAACATCTCATCTTTCTGCTCTCTGGGTCCCCAGTCAGGCTGGTCCCCACTGGTGTGTGTGTGTGTGTGTGTATTGGCTCTGGAGCCAAATCATAGGGAGGGGAGCATCAGGAAAGGATGATTTAGAGTCTCATTCTCACTGCCCTTCACTGTGCTGCAAGGACAGTTCAATGTAATATATAATTACCACCGCCCAACAAGGCTGCACTGTACACAGAGCTCCCCACCTTCTTCCCACTCCTTCCTGCCTGCCTGCAGACTATAAATCAGTTTTCAATCCTGAGTGCTACCTGTAAATGTTCAAGCTCAGGATACTAGCCTCATATTCCTGCATCCCTAGGGGGTGGTTCAGGCTCTGAGCCTTTTCTCCTTCCCGCAGTCCTGATTCTGACATGCTTCTTATCCCTGATTGATGGTGGGAGGGGAGGCTGAAAGCTGGAACTGGCTCTAAGGTCTCTGGAGCCCTAGCTTGGAGAGTGGGGGTGAGTGGCTGTGTCCACCTGACTCAACCAGGTCTGAGCTGGACACTGCCCAGTATGTAGCACTATGAACATGCTCTGGATCAAGTGGGCAAGACGGCATTGAGACTGACCCCTCCTCCCAGACTGGCAAACTCCTCCTAGACCTGCAGGATGTGCCCAGAGGTAGGTCAGAGCCTTCCCTGGAGAGTTTCCAAAAGACAGTACCCTGACCGTAGGATGATGAGGAAATGCGGAGAGTCCAGCCATGGTTTTTCCCAGAGCTGGGGTGGGAAATCCCGTGGTGTACCATTGTGGCAATAAAGAACAAATCAAGAGAGGAATTCCTGATTTCTATGGAGCAGGTACCTTGAGGACTTTGATTCTCCCTTTTAAAAAAAAAATTGGTTGCTTTCCTTCTCCCTTTCCTTCCTCTCTTTGCTGGGATAACAGTAATAGCCTCCCCACTGGTCTACCTACATTGTCCTGCTAAATGGAGGTCAGATCATGCCTCTTGCTTCCCTGATTAAACCTCTTTGCAAACTTCCCTCCTCCCTAAAGATAAAGAACATTCCTTGCCGTAGCTCCCAAGACCTGACCCGGCCTGTCTTAACCATGTCAACTTCACCGGATACTCCTCTTCCTATCATTGCCTTACTCCGGCCACATCACTCTCTGCTTTTCCAACACTCCTGCCACAGGGCCCTTGCACTGGCAATTCCTGCCACCTGAAATGCTCTTCCCCCTACTCCTACTCTTCTAGGTCTGTTCCTATGTCACCACCTTCCCTTGATTACTTCATCTGATGTAGGCCCCCCATTCTATCTTGGCACTCTGTTCACTTTACAGTATTTATTATGTATTATATAATTTGTAATTCTGTATTCATCAGCTGGTTTCCTCCTTTTTTGTATGTTTTCCCCATTAGACTGGAATCCTCTGAGGGCAGGGGTCACACTGTCTTATTCACCACTGTATTTTATGTGCTTAGCATAAAGCCTGGCACAGAGGAGATATTAATTGTTCTTGAAAGAACTGAATGCATAGGAGGTAGCTGACAGAAAGTCTTAGAAGTTGAAGTTGATTTACCTATCCTCCATTGCAACCCCACTTACAGCAAATAGTCAGAATCATACTTCCCTAGATCAAGCTTGTAGCCTTCTGGGGGAACTGGGAGGGTTCTCCCTCTGGTTGGCCTTCCTTCCTCTCCTTTGGAAAACTCTTTCAGCTGTGGCCCCTTCAGGCTGTCCCTGGAGCTGCCCCTCCACGGATCACCGGTCAGTGTCCAGTGTTCACCACCTCCAAACCCCCATCGAGATCCCTGGGTGGTTGCAAAGCATGGCCTAGCCAAACTGGTACCTGTGCCCCAATAGGGGCAGAGGAAAGGAGTGTGGGAGAAAGGGACACTGAAGGCAGGCTGAGGAGGCAGCTCTTCCATACATTATAATGTCCATTTAGTACATGCAAATTAACAGAAAGCATCTTTTGAATAAGTAGCTTTTATTGAGGGAGCTGCTCTAATCCCCAAATGGCTTTATGACCACAAGGAGCTTCCTGGTGGAGGAGGGGCTAGGAAATGTGAACTCGCTGTCTGGAACCACTCTGCAGCGCCCTTGTCTCCGTGATTTTAGATTCCAGACATGCTTCTTATGGCTAATGGACTTGCAGATCTCTAACCTCTGCTTCCACACTCCACTACCCTCCCCCACCCCAAGTCTGGGGAGCCTGGCCTCTGGGTTTGCAGGAGGCTGAGGCTGCTGGATGCTGCATTGCAAGTCTAGATGAATCTCTGGAACTGTAAGCAACTGAGTGTGGCTACAGTGAACACAGCTCTGTGGGCTTTCTGGTATAACTACACCTGGGCATGTAATAAATCCCTTGCTTGTATATAAAGGTATGTGTACTGTATGCACCGGGTGGGGGCGGGGGGAGTTGTGTCCATTTATACACTCCCATGAGACCAAGCACCACTGTGTTTGTGCCTCTGAGTTGATGTGTGTGTATGCCGCTCCCCCTTCCCCCCTTCATCTCCATCCATTTGTACTCCTTCTCAGGTTGCAGGGGAGCTGCCTCAGCTGGGGAGTCATGCTTTTTCAAAGACTAAGGACTTTTATCAAAATGATAATGAACTGATGACACATGGAGGCCCCTGGGCTCTAGAGAGAAATCAGAGAACAACTGGGGACAGAGTAAAGACTGGTGATGCTTTGGGGCAAAAGGACCTTGTCCTCAGAAAGCCCATACCAGCTCAGTTCAGATCTTAGAGGGTAAAGGGAATTGGACAAAAGAGGCTCAAGGGATGCTGGAAATACGTTATCAATATTCCCAGCCTGGCCTGCCTTCCTCTTCTGGAACACTCCATTCCCTGCTTTGCTGACTCTCTCACCCTCTCAAAGCACTCACCTTGACTATGGAGCTATGAGAGATAAGACTGACTATTCCATTCTCTCAGCCTCTGTTTCTCTGGCCCTCGCCCAAAGCCAAGTCCTGCCCAGAGATAAAGAGAGGGGACTGCTCCTCTTTACCAGATAACAGAATTCTGAGAGGGACAGGGATATACAAGCAGACCTTGGAGCACCAAAAACTGGTAAGTTGCTCCTTGGACATGGAGCCTGTCAAGGCTAATTGACTTCAATGATCTTTCATAATGGATTTAGGGCCAGGTGAGTTGTCACTGTGAAAAAGAGAGTCCAGAAGCTTATAGAACACCCGTGCTAAAGGGACTTGGATTACAAAACAGAAACTCCTCTCATTGGTCAGGTTTTAGAGAGACTTCATGTAGTTCTGGGCTTGGAGCACACAGGGGCTCACCTCACTGGAAGGCTCCTCCACCCCACTACCTCTGAGAAGCAGCCGCTTCGCCCCAAGCTGGAGAGCTCCGGCCCCCTTAGTACAGCCTGGCAACATAGTAAGTGTTCAGTAAATATTAGTTGTTGTGAATGTTAGCATAATCTCCTGGTGGAAAGTCTCTGAGGATGGTCCCTGCAGAGATGGCTGAGCCTCTACAACCCTGGGAGTCAGGAGGGTGTAGGCAGTGCGAAACAGGGATGGTGCCAAGATGCTGGACCTACAAAGAGGCAGGGATCCTGGCTTGCACTGTGGCCTCTCCTTTCCCCTGCCCCAGTGTTGTCCTCTCTCTGGGCCCTGCAGGGAGTCTTCCCTCTGTCCCAGACAGGCCTGGTGACCTTTCACTAAAGCCTGCAAATATATTCTTGGCGAGTCTTGGAAATGAAATTGTGCTCAACATTTGTATAGGGCTTTTCTGACGCCCAGCCCTTTACAGACATGAGCTAATAAAACGGAGGAGGAGGAGAAGGAGGAGGGCCCTGCTTCTGTAGCCAGGGACTCTAGGCTCTCCTGACCTGAGTGGCTCCAGTCTCATTCCTCCCTTCTTCTTTCTCTGCAAGGTTGGACGTACTCTAAGGAGGAAGCGACTCCTGGGGAGTTGGCCAGTGAGTCAAAAAGCAAAAGGAGGAGAGAGTTTGACAATATGTTGAGTAGGTAAGTGTCTTCCTGAGGTCATTTTGTACCACTCCCGGCCATATTCAGCAACTGGCTCAGTCTGTAAGTGCTGTTCTGTGTCTGCCATGAATGGGTAGGCCAACTTCTCCCCCTTGGGAGGAGGACATGAGATCAGACAGACAGTAACTTGAGCCAGAGCAGATTGTCAAAGATCCTTCCCAGAGGGCTAGGGGGAGCAGGGCACACAGCCGTTTGGCCTAGTCTAGGAACAGGGCCAATCTCTCAGCCCATCTGGGAGTCACAGATCTGGACAGCAGCTTCAAGACTAGAGAGAAGCACGTAAACCTCTGCTCTGCATGGTCTTCCTGGGCATGAGGGTTGGAGGGAAGCCATCCCAGCACCAGTGGAAATTCTTGCACTGTACCACTCCCTCTTCCCGCATCTACTCCCCACCATCATCAGACCCTGCCTGTGCCAGCAGTGAGTCAGTAAATGGAGATGCCCTATAACTGGCAGCAAGTCAATTTGTATCTGAGGAGGGAAAGAAAGGGGGGGGGGCGGTGGGAGGGAAGAAGAAAGGAAACAAAGAAAGAAAGGAGGGAGAGAAATAGATGGATGGATGGATGGATGGATGGATGGATGGATGGATGGATGGATAGATAGATAGATAGATAAATAGATAGATAGATTCAGGACTAGGATTGAGAGAAAAGACCAAGAGAGAAATAGAAACCAATTATAGAGACTGACCTAAGGAAAAATAAGCCATATTTCAGACTGAGACTGTGAGACAAAGGAAAGAAAGAAGACTAGAGAAGAAGGAAGAAGAAACAGCTCCACAAGTGACAATGGTGTCAAGATTAAGGATTTCTTGGCACAGCCAGGGTCAGCTCCAGGTAGGAATCCCCCCAGGAGGCCTCAGAGAGTTGCCATAGGCCCTTGGAAGGAGAGCCACCTCCCTTCCACCCCCACAAAGGACAGCATCTGCAGGTGCCCACCTCAGATATGCAGGCATCTTCAAGAGGCTGGTGGTGCACATTCTCCTCCTTGATCCCATCACAAGGACTAAGAGCCTGGATACTTGGTCCCTCCTCCCCTCCTACTGTGAGTATATCTCCCCTTCCCCAACCCGCCTGCTCCAGATTACTCTGATCTCATTAATCTGCCTGGTGCTGATTAGGGAATCAGCAATTCTGGAGGCCCCACCAAGTCCAGCAGAGGAGGGCCTGACCTCCCCTCACCGTAATTATCTGTCTCATAAAAAATAGGCATTGAACTTCATAAAACCAATTAAGACTTCAGAGCCAGGGCACAGGAGCAGCAAGCAGGAGTCCAGGTAACTCTGATGACAATGGAAGCCAACTATAAGGGCAGAGCAGTACCTGACAGCTCCCCTCTCTTAGGCCCAGCTCCAAATGCTGCAGAGCTACCACAGATGCCACAGAAGAGAATGAGGTCAGACCCAAGGAAGGACTGGCTACCTTGATGGCAGGAGCAGTGAGCACTGGTTTCTTCCCTTTTTGTGACCGGCAGCCTAACAGAGCCTGGTTTCTCCCTCAGTAACCCTCTCTGGTTCCAGAAAAACTCGAGAGTTTCCCATCAAGTTACCAAGGCAACCGCAGCCCAGCAGGATTCACAGTGATGACTAAGAGAAAGCAGGCTGATAGCAGCCCCAGGAGAGGCTGTCAGGGTGAGGGCACACATCTCAGGGGTGAGAAGAAGGCAGAGGTTTCTGGCTAGAGCAAACATCCCCCGCCTCCCTGTCCAGCCTGTTCCAGGATCTGTTTTCCTGTAGTTTGTGGGTTTACATAGCCCAGTCCCAGGTGGGTAAGAAGACAGCATCAAAGCTTCCTTCACTGTCAGGTGGAAATAGTGGGGTGCTCTTCCACAGCTTCCCAGAATGGCAGACGTTGCGGTTCCTGGCCCAGCCCAAAGGCCTTCTGATTTTAAAGGCCAGTGGGACTCTCTTCCATAACCACCTGCTCTCTCCATAATGGCCCCTTGGGAGGCAGTACTGCTAAGGGATCATGAGCACAGACTGCTTTGGAATCAGACAGAAGTGGGTTTCATTCTTGCTTTGTCACTAAGACTATGTGACCTTGGGCATGTTACTTTTCTCTCAGTCTCAGTTTCCTTAGCTGAAAATGGGGATAATATGATGAATTCCCAGGACTTAAAAATATCATACATATAACATGCTTGCGCAGGGCTTGGCACTGGGTCTTTTTAAAAAAAATTAAACCTGTTAAAATTTTATCATTATTGTTACAATTTTAATTGTTATTGTTATTACGTATGTACCTCAGTTTCCTCATCGGCAAAATAGGGATAATGATTTAATCGTTTAAAGATTATACAAGACAAATTCTGTGAAATGTTTAGACCAACACCTTACTCATAGAAAGTGCTCAGTGAATAAGAGCTGTTATCATTATGATTTCTACATCCCCCTTCAAGATTATATACGAGGGAGCCATCACTGAGCAGGCCCAAACTCTTAGTTCCCTAAGCAGGAAGGGCCATGAAAACAAGCCTTCTGGAACTGTAGTGGGTGGGTGGGTGGATGGGGGAGTAGTCATTCCTAACGGCCATGCTAGTGAACTTCCAACTCAGTTCTGGACCAGGAATGAGCCTTTCACTTCTGTACTCACTCATTTCCTTCTCAGGAGTCTGAGGTTCCCTAAGCAGGATGACGTCCTGCTAATGCCCAGCAGACCGGAGAAAGGGGTAAATGGTCACTTAGAATGGAAAAAGGTTTTGCCCCTACACAGAGGGTCAGATGCCAGGCTGGGGTAGGGGACACTCTTAAGAGAATGAATGAGGGGACCATGTAGGTGAAGTTACAATGCCTCTTAAAGGTTCCTGTCTTTTCTTGGTCCATATGAGGCCTCCTTTGCATAAGGAAACCTCAGATATGGCTGAGCAACTGCGGACTGCTCTCAAACCCTCACCATCTTCCTCCTTGAAAACATTAACACTAATCCAGGGCCCATTCACACTTTCAAACTTTGAGACTCATGAACAGGCTGATTGGGATGCAGTCTTTCTCATTCTCAGCTCTTGCCACACATGTGTGCCTCACTGGTCCAAACTGCACATGAATTGCACAGGTGGGTGTCCCAGAGGTTTCCAGGGTGTGCCACAAGCTAAAGGGTGGGCTAACACTGAAGCTGGAAGAAATGAGGTGAAACCTCAGGGAAAATATCCTGGTTGAAAGAGCTGGGGGACACAGGGAAAGAGCTAAAAGCAAGCTACAGGATCCACTTCTCTGCAGATTTTCCCTCAGAAAAGTCTCCAATCCTAACCTCTACTGCTCTGAAGACCTTGAAAGGTAATGCCTCAGTGGGGGTGAGCTAGGGCTGTCAGGACCCCTCAGACACTGAGGAAAGTGAGGCAGCTCTCATGCCAGACCTGGCCTGGGCCCCAACACTGGCCATCTTTCCCTTCCCTACCCTGCAGCCTGGAAGGCCTACTGCCTTAATGTTCCCAGCAGCCTAAGGCCCTGCAGAGCTAGATTCTAGGGAGAACCAGTGACTCTGGGTTCTGATGTCAGAAACCAAATCTGAAGATGACTTGGACGTGTCCTCCCCCAGAATAAATTTGCAAACTCGGGCCCATGCCCTCAGTTCTGCTGGCAACAAAACCTTTGTCTCTAGCCCAGAGATCCTGTTCTCTACACCAGGCACCATGCCCTGGACTCTCCCCATTCTTTGGACAGAGAAGTTAGAGACGCTGGAGCTTTTCTTTTGGGGTTATGTAACCTGATACAGGCATCTTACTCTCCCTGTGTCATTAAATCTGTGCCCACACAGGCCCTGTTATTGGAAAGGAGGAATGTGTCTGAGTGTCAGTCACTTTAGGAGAACTGGGTGGGGAATGAGGAAGTCTGAGGGAGAGAACTAGAAAGAAAGTAGGAGCTGCTGCCCAGAAAGCCCTGGCTGTGTCAGCTACAGGTTGGGAATGTGCCACACCCCACCTTACCCCATTCCCATCTGACTCTCAGACAGGTCCAGGAACTGTCACAGAGGACTGTGTTAGATCTGGGAGAAAGAGAAAAAGGCTTTTTATCTTTTTCCCAATATAAAGAACCTAGTGGGCAGGGCATGGGCAATAGCAACATAGATTGATTTGAAAGTCATTCTGAAGGAAATTCGGCCCCAAAGGTAGCCAAAGCAGGGTCAGTCACTGGGGGCTGGTAGGGCACCAGGAGTTACACCGTCCCCAATGGGACCAACCTGGCACTGGCCATGGCCCAGGGATGGAGACCTGCCCTGCCAGCTGATCTCCCGGAGGCAGAAATCAGGTTCCTTCCAGCCCAAGGAATCTCAGGAACAAGTAAGAAAAGCCAGCTTTCTCTCAAGTCTCTGTCTCTGTCTGCTAGAAAAAGATTGCTTCCAGCTCTCAAAGGGTCTGCCCTGCTCACCCTCAGATTGACAGGTGGACAGACAAATGTTCCAGTGTTCTTAGAGTTCAGGCTGAAGACTGAAGCCCAGAATCCTCCCCTGGGATGACCCAGGAGCTCCCCCTGCTGTCTGGTTTGGCTGAGCCAGTTGTGGGGTGAAGAAAAGGAGGAGTGTTAAAGCAGATTCTAGCTGCCGCAGCAGAAGGGCACACGCTTTATGCTGCCCCCTCTATACACTGCCAGAGCCTGAATCAGAGCTGGACTTCCCCTGAGGTCACTGAGGAAGGGAATGTCCAGAGAGCAGTCGATCTGGGAGGAGGACAACACACTGGCACCCTGCAGCCCGGCCTCTGGGCTCATGCCCAGAGCTCTGATGAGGCTATCCAATCTGCAGATGTCCCTGGCTTCAGGAGAAAAGTCATGTTCTGCGTAGCAAAATCAGCTGCCTCCTCTGAGCCTCAGAGAAAAGAGGCTGTTCCACTCAGTGAATCATCTCAGTGAGTGTGTGGCAGGGGGTCTGCCAGCCTTAGGAGCACAAAAAAGACCCCACTTCTCCCCAGCAATTCCCCCAGGTACCAGTGGGACACATCTAAATTTACCATTGATAATACAGATTATAACAGAAAATAATAGGTGTTTCCCCAAGGACCTCTGGCTCCATATCTGTGGACTCTTCAGGTCTCTTTAGCTCCAACATTCTATGACTCGACAGAATTCCATAGCCCACCCCCTGACCTCCACAACTCCCACTCCTGGTCTTTTATTTTACCTGATTTAAATTCATCTTGTTGCATCCTGAATAGTGGCAGCTAGAAGAAGTGTCTCTGTCTAACACTTCCCATTTTTGTGATGAGAGAGACTGGGGGGGGGAGAAAAGGGAAAGAGAGAACACTGAGAAACCAACGGAAAAGGAAGAAACAGCAAGAACAAGGAGTGGAGAGATGACCAAATAAGACCCAAATAAATATCTGAGAAAAACCATCTGATTGGCTGGAGATGTGGGGAACAGCCTCAGGATAGTCTCTAATCATTCTCCCTGTAAACATTTATTTCATAGCCATGTCTCTGCACTCGCACTAAATGAAATGAGTGTACATGAGTACTTGTACACACACACACACACACACACACACACACACACACACACACACACACACTGTGGGGAAGGTCTGGCTGTGTGTGGTGTTAGAGAGGGCAGCAGTCCTCTCGTTGCCCAGAGATTTCCGCCCCCACCTACATAATTATCTTCTCTCTTCACATCCCAAAAAAAACCCACCTCCCAGCCTCCAAGCCTTACAGCACTAGGTCTTCTTGCTTTCAAAACAATTCCCTCCCTGAGTGCCACCTTCAGGAAGTGCTGAGCTGCTTGAATGAGAGAATGGAAGGGAGGAGAGCTAGTCCTCTCCAGAGCACCACCCCCACCAAACAGACCCCCTTTACCTCCCTTTCCCTTCCCCCACCTCTTTCCTCCCTGTCAACAGCGGCTGCAAAAACAGCCCTCCTCACCCCGAGCAGTGGGCTGCAGGGCATATGCCTACTTCCTAGGGCAAGAGACAGCTGGGGGAGGGGGAGGAAAGGAAGGGGGCACTGGAGTGGGGGTGGCCTCGGGCAGCAGCATTCCCAGCAATGCCAATACCATACCCTCTGCCTCCCTGCCTTCTATAATTAAAGAACAAACAGGAAAGCCCTCCCACTCATTCTCTACAGTCACTTTGCAGTCACCCCAGCTTCCCAAAATCCCTACCAAGGCTACCCACAACCCTGCCCTCCCAAGGTAGCCTATATTTCTCAGACCTTGGAAAGTCACTTCAGGATATCTTACCCTGAAAGACAGATCTGCTCTTGCAATGCAAGGAGACAGTGATGAATTCGCCCACATACTAGCAACCTACTTCCATTAACTCCTATGTCCAAATAATTTCTTTAAATCACAGAGGTTGAGGTTGGGGGAGGGAAAGGCAAGTCTTTGACATCAATCTTCAGTGGAGATTCCTCCTTCAAACATGGCCAGGGTGGGCAGGAGAAAAACCCTGCCCACACATATTCTGGGGGCTTCTAGGACAAAGCAATGAAAATGAGACCTTGCCTCTTTACCTCTTCCGCACATCTCCACAGTGCCTCCTCTGACCTAAGTTATTTTCCACCCACCCTCCTCCCTTGAGTCCTTGGAAAAACAAGAGATGTGGGCTCACACACCCCTTCCTGGAGGTCTCAGGGCTCTGGCTGCTCATGGGCAGGGTGGGGCTGCCTCCTGGGAGAATCCTACCTCCTCAGGTAGATAAGAGTCTCTCCAGTGTGACTAGCATCCATGGGGACCCAAAGGGACAGGGCATGAGAAGGATAACTAAGATCTTACTGCAGTTCTAGGTTTACTCATTCCTTCTCAAATCACCCTACTTAACACCCTAATTTTACAGATGAGAAAGTGGAGACTCAGAGGGGTCAACTTGGACAGGATTTGCCCAAAGCTACCAGGTAGAAAAGTGACAGATCTGCGTCAAGCACCGGTCTTCCACCTCTAAAGCCAGCTTTGGTGAGATCATGTCCTGGTAGGGCAGAGAGCCAGGAAGCAGGTGACATTTCAGTTGCTAAGTGTGCCCACCTACCCTTGACTTTAGAACACAGGATCATGAGCTCAAGCCTACATTTCTAGCCCCTGCCCTGCTTATACTGCCTGCCTCCAAGCCAGCTTCCAGCTAAAAAGTTTGTACATCTTAGGGATAGGCCAGGTGGGGCTGAAAAGGCAGAAGGGACAGAGAAGAGAAATGCTGGCATTTCCCCAGGGCCCAGGAGCAGGAGAGGGGATGAGAGCTGAGCAGATGGGCCTGAACAGGCCATGTGGGAAGGCTGGGCTATGGAGAAAGTGTAGGCACAATGTGGCCTGGCTGAAACATGGCTTTGCCCAGTTGGCAACCTAGCATTTCTCCCTTTTTTCATTTTCCCCATCTCACTTTAAATTGCCTGCTTCAAATGTGATTCTTTCCAAATGGGCCCCTCACCCCCCATGAAGGGACTGGCATGTGGAGGGATGCTGCAGACTGATTCCTCACATCGTAGTCCTCTTCCAGCAGCAGCAGGCTGAGAGCTAGCGGCCCAGACCACAGCAGGAGCAGCTTGTGATGTTCTGTTCCAGCAGATTGGGGAGGGTTCTCCATGGCTCAGACCCGAGGTTGAGGAGCCAGGATGGACAAAGCAGTAAAGAGGAGACCCTGAATTCTTGGCCAACCAGCAGCTTATTGGTAGCCTGGAATACAGGTGTCCATATGGGCTCTCCCTGCCTGGAAGGAGAAAAATCAGCATTGTCCAGCCCTGTGACTTTGATGGCTGTTGGGGCCCAGCACTGGGATCCCCATTAGAGGTACTCAACCTGCCTCAGGCCCTGGAGTCCCCAGAAATAAGGAGAGGGTGAGCATGAACCAGTCACTGGCACTTCCTGGCTCCTTCCATGCCGCCTCTCTCAGGTGTTTCATTGGGCAGAGAAGCAGGGGAGTAATCTTTACCAGGGTCTTGTGGAACTGCCAATAGTTTGAGTTATCTAGTAGGACAAAAAGCAACATGAGATGTCAAGAGGAACAACAGACAAAACTTCAAGATTGGATTCAAGGCATAGCCTCCTCTCTGCAGCCAGCACAGAACCTCATAGTCTTAGAGCTAAACAGTCCTCAGGGATTCCCTAAATTCCAGGCCAAAGGCACTCACCACCTATTTGGTGACAAAATAAACTGTGGATTTTGGATTTTGAAAGGGGGAAGCAGGTGACGTGAGAAAGAATTTCATGCATAGAGGTGCTCAATAAATGCTGGGTGAGGGTCACTGGTACAGGAATATGCTTCCAAAGGAGCCCATTGTCCTCTAATGTGAGGAGAAAGAAGGCTAGCGTAGGAGTAGGGGTTTTGTTATTTCACCTAAGGTGACCAGGGGGCCTACTCGGACATCTCTACCAAAACAGAGGTAGGAGGACAGCTTACTATTAGATGGGCCTCCTACACTGGCGTGAATCAATCTCAGGACACTTCTGAGACTATCTGGGCCCTGATCTTTATCTAGATGCTTCCTCTCCAGCTGAGGCTGGGAAGCTGGTGCAGACACTCACTACCTCACTCTTTACAGTGCTGCCATTAAGAAACCTGATTAGCAGAACCCCATGCTAGGCTGCTAATGGGTTGGGGACATTAAGCCTAAATGGTTTCCCAGACATCAGCATAGCAAAACACAGGAAGAAACAAATATTTTAATTTCAAAGAAATAGAAGTACAAGAGGGGAGGGGGTTCCCTCTGCTTTTTCTGAATCTATTGTTCTCTCATCTCCTACCTGCAACAGTTTCTACAGTTCTCAGGTCCAGGGATTCCCTGCCCTAGATAGGGCTGTACAGGTGGAGGAGGGGCTGCAGACAATAGATCTTCACTAATCTAGACATATGGACACGGAGGAGATTCCTAAAGACTTACAGGAAGGGGGATTCCTGGGACTGACTTGGCCAACAACCCTGAGGGTCAGGAAATCTTTGACATCTAATTTGAATTAATCTTATGATAACTCAAGGCCCACCTCCCTGTGGTTTGCAGAGTGGAAGGAAAGGACTGGAGTGGAAGATCAGGGGTGGGACACCTATAGACTCAAATTAGTTGCTCCAGGCCGGTGGTTCTCCCAATGTGGCTGGCAACAGCAGAGGCGGCAGCATCTGAGAACTTGCTGTAAATGTAAATTCTCAGGCCTCACCCCGGATGTACTGAATTAGTGTGACAATGGGCAATCTTGTTTTAATAAGCCCTCCATGTGGTTTCGATGCAATTAAGTTTGAGAACCACTGCTCCTGGCTTTACCTCTCAGATGGAAGGGGAATGTCGAAAGAGAAAGAATTAAGAGGGGATACAACAAGCAGTCTTGTCCAAAAGGAAAAAAAAAAATGGAACTTTCCCAAAGTGGAAATTCAAAACCAGGCCTCAGAGGAGGCCTCTGTTCTTCTCAGGCTGTAAATGTCAAAGCAGTGTCTAAGTGGCCCTGAGGAGAGGAGTCTGGGGAGAATAACCAACCCTGCCTGACCTTTTGCATTTTACCCAGAGCAGGAAAGTAATGGAACAATAGTTTCAGGTAACATATTTCCTGCTTGTCTGAGCTACCTGTCCTCTATCTGAGCCCCACTGAGACTCCCATTCCTCCTCTCTAGCTCCCTAGCTCTCTGGCTACCCTACTCATCTTATGTCTTTTCCTTCATTCATTGAATGAGAACTGATTCAAACTGTTTCTTAAGCAGATCAGAAATGAGTGAGGCCCTACTCCCTAAGGAAGAAGAGAAAGAAGACCACCATAACCTAGAACTATAAACTATGATGGGGCAGCTTGTCTTCATATCCTCCTCTCTTCCCCCACCTAGACCACACCAGTTCACGGTGCTGCAATAAAGAAAGAAAAGAGCCACTGGTCTTTTATGTTGTACCTAAATGGTTGTACTTGCAAAGAAAAAAAAAAGGACAAATTTTAGGCTCCTAACCAACCTGTATGTTTCCTCAGGGCCAGTACTGGTCTAAAGCTTATTCTCCTTTTATATTCACCATACTAAATACCTAACACACTAGATGGCTAATGAATATTTAATAAATTGAACTGAAGGGAGCACCCAGAAGCAAGAAACCAAGATATCTCTACTTCCAAGCTGGGACCACAACAGAGATCAAGAAATGGGTCGTCCCTGAACTAATTAGGAAAAAAGCTTCTTCCTGCCACCTTAGAGTCCAGGCACTGCCATCTTCATCCTTTCACTCATTCAATAAGCATGCAGAGCAAGCCTGCTATGTTTGAACCCTAGATCTCATGTTGAAGTGGGGAGAAAAAAATTGAAAATAAGAGTCAAGGAAAGCTGCTCTGAGGAGGTAGTATTTGGGCAGATACCTAAAGGAAGTGAAGCAGCTAGACTTGCAGCTATCTGGGGGGAGAATGTACCAGGCCAAAGGAACGGCAACTGCAAAAGAACTGCGCACAAGGCTGCTCAGAAAAAGGACTACATTTCCCAAACCTCCTGGGAGCTAAGTGTGGCCATGTGACAAAATGCTGTCTGATGGGATGTTAGCAGAGGGATGTCTGCAACTTTCAGGTCATGTTCTTAAAAGGATGGGCCTATCCTGTTAAGGTAGGAGATGGGAGCATCTTGTAAGGAGTCTATCATGGCTTGCTGGAGTGGAGTGAACAAGAGGGAAAGAGATCGGAGATGAGATCAGAGGGCCTTATAGGGCACAGTAAGGATTTTAGATTTCATTTTGAGTTGGAGAGAAGTTATTAGAAAGTCCGCAGAAGAATGACACGTTCTTGTTTTATAGTGCAATTCTGGCTGCTATGTTGAGAACAACCTGTAGAGGGTAGAGCAGAAGTAGGGAAACCACTTGGGAGCCTCCTCATTAACCACCACCCCCTCCCCCTTCCTCCAAATTCATTTTCTCCTTCCACTTTTTATCTGGGCACAAGGCTGCTCAGAAAAAGAACTACATTTCCCAACCCCCCTGGCAGCTACATGTGGCCATGTGACAAAATGCTGTCTGATGGGGTGTTAGCAGAGGGATGTCTGTAACTTTCAGGTCATGTTCTCAAAAGGATGGGCCTATCCTCCACTTCTTCCTTCTCCCCTTTCCACAGGCTAATATTTCATGGGAATGATAGCAGCTGCTGAAGCAGCTATCTTAGGCCACAAGATGGAATTTACATGTTGAAGATTACAGAGTGGCAAGCCATGAGAAGCTGGGATCCCTAACAATGTAGAGTGACTATATCAACACCGGACTACTTATGAACAGGTTCATAGCTGAGAAAGAAGAAATTTTCTATCTTGTATAAAACACTGTATTTTGCAGACTCTGATATAGCAGCCTCATCTGTATTGGAACTAATTCAGAGGTGACCACAATTGTCTAAACAAGTAATGAATGGTGGCTCTGATGATGGTGGGAGTGGTATAACGAGATAATTGATCAGATTCTGGAAATAGTTTAAAAGGCAGAACTGACAGCGTTTTCTGAGGAATTGGATAAGGGAGCATTAAAAAAAAAAGAGAGAAGAGCCAGGAAAGACTCCAAAGTGTGGGGCCTGGTAGAATAGAATTGCATTTATTCCAATGGAGAAAACTGGGGGACCAGTGAGTTTAAGAGGACTATGAGAGACATTCACATAGAGATGTCAAGTAGCAGCTGGATATGAGTCTAAATTCAGGGAAGATGTAGGGGCTGAAGATATCCACTTGAAATTTATCAACATGCAGCTGGCTTTAATGTCTTGAGATGGATGAGATTATTTAGGAAGTGAGAGCAGATAAAGAAGAATAGAGCTTTGGTAACAGTCCTGGGCATCCCAGAGATGAGGGAGATGAGAAGGAGCCAGCACTGGAAACTATGGTGGTAGGAGAACAGAGAGAGGAGTGTCTTAGAAGCCAAATGAAGGGCGTGTTTTAAGACAGAACGAGTGATCATCCATGGCAAATGCTGCCACTAGCATGAGTAAGATGAGGATGAAGGGATGAACTCTGGATTGGCAACAGGAGAAGACACTGGTGACATTGACATGAGAATTTTCAGTGGAATGTGGAGGACAAGAGAGAATGAGGAGAGGAAATAGAGACAACTCTGAATTCTGGACAGATAGAAATCATTCCAGCAATCTAACTTCCACCCTTTCTATCACAGTACCAAGCATTCTAAAAGACATGAGGGCACCCAGCAACTGAACCTTACTCAGCTCCTCTTCTCCAAGTGTTTGAATGACCCTGTGGCCTCTTCTCTCTAAAGTCCCCAGGCTCCAGAGTCCAGGCCTCCCTGCAGCTCTGCCTCTGCCCTGCTGGCTCCCAAGGCCACTCTCAAGAACTACTTGGGCGGACTAGGCAGCCAGGCCTGACTCTCCTGGATTATAATTAGTGCTGCTGCTAACAATGTTTGGCCCCTGTGGAATAACAATCTGGGAAATTCTTATACTTCCAATTTTCCCCCTCAGTGCTTTCTCGGATGTAATTTCCCAGCCAGCCCCTGTGCTCCAGCCCTGGGCCCTGGCTGCCACCTCACCAGAGAGAATAAAGGCAGTGCCTCAGATGCCGTTCCAAAGGGCCTAATCAGTTAGCTGAAGTCATCTCCTGACTATTATCACGGCATTATCACATTAACATGGGCACTGCTTTGGAGAAGGCAGGGAGACTGCTGTGAGGAAGGGGTAGGGGCACCAGGCTAGCTCCACAGTGTGCACAGTAAACATTGCTAGTGGCGTAATCAGAAAACTGATGGCTAGAGAGAAAGCAGCCCTCCCAGAAGAACTCTGGAGTTTCCAGCGGAGATGCAGCTCAACCATCCACTCTTCCCTGACGAGGAGCCTCCCCGGCACTCCTCTCTCCAGGAGAGAGAATCTCAGCAGTCAGATCCCCAGACACTGCTTTGGCATCCTGAGGCAGAGCTTGGTAAAATCTCAGACTCAGCTCTCTTCTGTCCCAGCAGCCTCAAAAATCCAGGCCTCTTGCCCTGGAAAATGCTCATCTCACAGCAGTCCTACTCTCTCAGGTCTGAGGATTTTACTTCATTGCCCCAGTGGGCCTCCAGCTCTCTAGGGTAGGGGGCTGTGGTGGGCCCCATGCCTCAGGGTCTTGAAGGAAAGGCCAGAGGATTATTTTGGGTTAAGGGTACTGAGATTGACTGGACCTCGACTTCTGCAACAAGGGATGAAGACAGAAACCAGCATTTATAAGGCACCTGCTACATAGGAGACCAATGTAAAGTCTTTTGTTTGTTTGTTTTAATGTACAATATCCATAACAGAATTTACCATTTTTAAGGGTATAATTCTGTGGCATTAAGTGCATTCACACTGTTGTGCAACCATCACTACCCATCCTTCTCCAGAACTTTTTCATCTTACCCAACTAAAAATCTATACCCATTAAACACTAACTTACATATTTATCTCTTACAATCCTTATTGTGAGATAGAAATCTCCATTTTACAAGGAAGACACCGAGGAACAGATTGGGAAAGTGGTGCTGCCTTTCCTGAGAACAGGCAGGCAGGAAGAGGATTTGAATCCCAGTCTGCCCAACACCAAAGCCTGTGCTCTCTGTGGTTCCCCACCCTGAGCTGCCCAAGGTCTAGGGCCATTTCAGGAATGGCATTGCTGAGTAATGCCACTGACGACTAATGACTTAACACACTATGTCGCACACTGAACTGTGGCTGGCAGTAAAAAGGCTTCTAGTCAGCATGGTTTATATTTCTCAGGAAAGATTCCCAAAGCAAAATCAGGCACTATTAATCAGTGTTTTGACTACTTCATAGCATCCAGCAGGAGAGGGTCCCTCACATATCCTCCTTTAAATTGGCACTTCTCTCCAAAGGTGACTGTGTTCATCCCCAAGGTGTTGGGCTCTTGACTGCTCAGACTACCCCCCTACAGTGTGGAATAATGAAATGAGCAAGGCCTGGGGGGTCAGATGGGCTTCGGTTTAGATTCTGACTCTCACTCTATACCCATTTGAGTCCAACTCTTATGAGACAAATTAGCTCAGACATAGAAGGTTAGTGTTAGAATACATGAGAAGCCACGTGGGGTCTCTCATAAGACAGGTGCTGAAGCTGGGAAGGAATCTAGATGCAAGACTCCTTAGCAGCTGGAAGCCATGGCTCTTCCTTGTCAGATTCCAACTGCCCTTCATGGGATTCAAACATACTGGGCAAGTCTGCTTCTATTCCAGGCTCTGGTTGCTGCCAGGGAACTCTTTGCTTTAGGTTGAGGTTTCTAAGATAAAGAATCTGATTGGCCCAGTTGTCTTTTTCCCACTAGGCCGTAAATTAGAGATGACTAACCAGCCTAGGTACTTACTGACTGACCTTGGTCAGAACCTTCCTGTGGTCTAATCACCTAGGGCAGAGAAGGGTGGAAGTGGTTAAGTGATGGTTTAAGACACCGGAAAGGGTGTGTGTAATATACCATATATTGTGGACTGAAGCCAAGTTTTGGCCAGTACAGAATCTCTTAAAGGGAGCTATGGAGTGGGTGGGTAAATAGGTTTAACATTCTATATAAGTTGCTTAATCTCTCTGGGCCTCAGTGGTTTTCTTATCTATACAAATGGGACAATAATTCCAACCTCATAGGGTTGTTGTAGAGACTGAATGCAAAAACAAAATTCAAAGTAGTTGGTAGGTGCTTAATAAATGTTGGTTTCTTTTCCCTTCTGTAGGAAAGGCCACTTCCAGTGCTATATGGTTCTCAGCTAAAACAAAACAAAACAAAACAAAACATGTATGCACACACACACACACACACATACACCCCACCAAGATGGGGTTCTGTCTTCTGCAGCAGATTAAATCTCCCCAAAGACAAACATCATGACTCATTCTCCTTTTGTTTCCCTCTTGGCAACTCCATTTGATATATTTTATTTTCTCTTGCTAAA